CACACACACACACACACACACACACACACCACCACCACCACCACCACCACCACCACACCGCCCATTTACCCTGGTATTTTCTAAAGGTCATACCGCAGTATGAATATGAGCAACACTGCCCAACCCTATACCACATACTGAAAAGGCTGGGTTAGATTTTCAAAAAATCCAATATGGGTCGTATTCGACTGCAGTGTGAACAGTCCAAGTCACAGATGGTAGTTACAAACACAATGCAGAAAGGCTGTCTTCATACCAGTTTGGTGGGACTGCGTCTGGAGAAAACCCTGCGGGGACACTTCAGGTGGAGATGCCCGGAGCACCAGCTGCGCATGTTGAGCCACTCAACGGTCCTAGAAGGACCGGGTCCATCCTCTTTGTGCAGAAGGATCAGCTTCTTCAGAGCCCGGACAGCTGTGTTTTCTAGCATTTGCTCCAACTGGAGGGAATGAGACAAGTGATAAAAACGACATTTTAACCACGGCGGTTCCTGCCTTCTACGTTTTGCCTGCAAATACGCACTTCGCCCAGCGCCGGTTCCAGGTCCCCCAGGCCCACAATGAGGATGCAGTCAGCCTGGCGGATGCAGCGCTGAGTCCACGGGGTCATGCTGTTGTCGGTCTGGTAAAGGACAATTCGATTGATGTCCTCCTGCTGGGCCAGCCAGCCAGAGAGACGATACTCGTGGATACTGTTATTATTGAAAAGCAAATGTTTGTTTCAAAACAGTATGAAATGGGGGTAAAAGACAAAATTAGAACTACAAATCCAGAAAAACTTCAATTCATACAAAAACTGAGATAAGACTGACCTGTCCAAGGCAGAAGCTCCCAGTCTCTCTCTGATTATGTCACTGGTTAAAAGTAGAGTGGGCCCTTTAAGTATCACAGGAAATGCAAAATGAACACACAAAAAATTACAATAAATAAGGATGTCATTACAAGGATTTCCAATAACCAAATATAAAAGGAGAACAGAAACGTTGGGAGTAAGGTTACCAATGGCACTGAGGGCATGGCTGAGCTCCAAGTTGAATGCGTTTATGGGCACCTCATCACACACGGGTAGAACAGCCACTGTCGAGAGGTTATTTGATGGGTTGGTGACATCTGCACTTGTTGTCACACTGGGCAAACTGAGGGCTGAACCTGGCAGACAGAAACACAATGTGAGGAGGAGGAATGAAAAGAAAAGAACAAGGCTGCAGGGAGAGAAACAGATTTAAAAATGTTTCCCTCAGCATGGTCTTACCTGAGAATGGCCCACGACCCTGCTGAAGGTTCCCCAGAATCTTCTGCCCTAAGAGATGAATCAACCTTGTCACCACCTAGAACACAGATAATAAAGTTTATATTACTCAGGCCAAAGCACTGTGCACATATTTTTAGAATAAAGTCACCAACCTGAGGATATCGTCTTTTAATGTTGTTCAACGTTCCTTCTGGCAGTTTAACGAGCTCTGTGTCTCTCACAGCGTGGACAGTGGTGGCTCTTGGCTGTTTGGTCAAGGCCTCCACCTAAAGCAGCAAAAAAACAGCAACTCAGATAAATAAATAAAACTAATCAATGGGTTTCAGGCACTAAAAGCAGGACTATTTTGAATAATCAACAAATAGTCATTTTAATTTGGTTTCTTTTACATTAATATAGAAAAACGTGTTCTTACCACACCAATGAGGTCTCCTCTACCATATTCCCCAACCAACTCCTTCTTGCCATTTGCTTTACGAATGACAGAACGCAGACGTCCATTCAGGACAATGTAGGTGCAATCTGACTGGTCGTCTTGTCTACAAGCATAAATGTATATATTTTTATAAGTATCCAGTTACATGTAACTGTTGTTTATTATGTGAATAAAATGTTTAAGAAAATAGTTATGTAATGAAAAAGTTAGGATTTTTGTCCAAACAAGTAGAGCGGTCTATTGATTTTTATAATTTTCCCCCCAAACATGTTATTTATCCACAGGGAACACCTTTTTATATGTAGTACAATAACGCCTATAATAACGTAACTATTATAAATGTGCCTAACCATGGAGGTCTATACAACAACTGGAGTGAGTTTTGACCACATGACTGTGTGAGCCACTGTAGCAGCTATGGGGCTAAGCAGAATGGGCAAGAGTCTGGATATCCCAACGCAAAAATATAAAATAAAAGATTGATGATGTAGAAGTCATAAAAACTATTAATAATAACAAAATTATTATTAATATATTAGAGTGTATATAAGCAATCTAATGTATATAAAAATGTCAGAACAAAGTGTGAGTTATGGATGCACCAGCAGATATTAACTTCTGTAGCATAAATTGTTATAGAGTGTAGCACTGCTAAATTGTGCTACAATTTAGCATATATGATTAAATATTTCAAGCTGGTTTTGCCTCTGATTTATGTAATATTTACATAGCTAAAAATAATATTATATATTTGACAACTTTTAGGTTTCTCTTAGACAAACCTGCCCTTTTGAGAAGATCTATAGACAGTATTAGTAGACATAAGTTTCATGCTAAAGTATCACTGGATACGAAGTGAAAATTTTCTAAGTATCGACT